GACGTGATTTCCTACATCTACAAATGGTGTAAACCTATAGGGTTTAGCACAGACATATTATTTGAACATTATAAACTTAGACAATATTAATATCATGATCATTTTTAGTTATGAGTAGTGAAAGTAAAATGAAATAAAAGTTTATTAAATCAGAATGTATATTATTAGTACCTCAAGTTCGGTGACTTTATAATTGGAAAAAGGACTTTAATTTTATGAACTATTATTATCTTGTTAAAACAAATTGGATTTTGTTGTTGTTCCAATGTACTATAATTTGGTAAATCATTTTGTACTGAAATTGATCCGAATAGACCAATCAAGCCCATCGATAGTAAGTAATAAAATTTGAACGGAAATGCAATGGTATTATTAAGATTTTAGACCAAGAGCAATAAAATTGGGAACTTTGAAGTAAATAAGTAAAAGAGCTTAGGGCTAGAACTCCTGGGATGTAGAGATGAGGACTGAGCCCATAAATATTAGTAATAAGTGTTTACTTGCATCTGAGGGTGGTGCCATGTTGGGGTTCATAGGTCAACGGACAGACCTACGGACTAAGCGTAGGTGGTATGGTAATGTTAAGTCAGCCAATGAAAAGTACTTTTATATCCGGGACCATGAATACCCTCTGAGCACAAAATACCCTGTTTTGCCGGAAAACGGCATTCTATTCTATTCTATTCTATTCTATGACTCTATTCTTTGACTAGTTTGGAATACTTTTTGGACTCTAATTTATTTGGACCTCACCTTAATTATTACTTTTGGAGTTTTAGTTCTACGCTCTTCGGGAATCTTTGGGATGGATCTTTAAAACTTTTGCTACAACTAGAGTATTGGTCTATTCTGGTGAAATTTCAGAAACAAGCATATAAAAATCTATACGATCACGGTTGTTTAATAAACTTTTCAAAAAACTTACAAATCTTGTTATTGGCTTACAATGGCGCATCACAGCTCGAGCACTACCAAAATGAATACCTCTGTATAGCATGCCGAACCAAAGAGTGTGTTAAAATTTCAAGTATCTGCGATGAGTTGTTGCAGAGAAAATTACAACGAAAAAAATTGTTTCAGACAGCAGACACAAACAGCCCCCCCCCCCCCAACACACACACAATAGAGAGATTCGCAGGGTAAAAGGTATATACCCCCATTTCCTTCGGAGTGGGGGTATTAATATTCATGTAATAAATAAGCATAAACGAACCTAAAAGAGGGAAAAAGATATTAAAAATGAAGCAGTAATTACAGTTAACATAGCATCTCCACATTGGACGCTTCATATGCCGTACTTTCTCTAATTTTTTTTCCTTGTCTAAAAATAATAATACAATACATTTCAATGCATTAGTGTACCCAGAAACTGATACATGTAAAAGGTGGGGTGAAGGCAGGTTGACAGCGGGCACAAATTTTATGCTAGAAGTATGGGGCCACAAACTTGTCCTTTAAATGGTTTCCGATAAAATCCATTCCATACAGGTATATCGTTGTCAGAAACATATCATGTCATTTTCGGAACAAAACCTGTGAGAAGAAAAAAAACAAAAACAAAAACCAAGAAAAACAAAATAGTACTGAGAAGTGGCGTTAAGGAGGGGAAGATACGTTGCTCCTCCCCCAATATACATTTGAAAGAAAAAAAATCAGGAGACTCTAGGCGTTCACGACCCTCCCCAGTCTCGGATTAACTCATATCACATCTCATTTTTAAAGGTTTAATTATAAAATATAGTGAAAAAAGTAAGGGGTCAAATTTCTATGGGGTCATTTTTCAACGTGTGTGGAGTCGTAGAATTACCGGCCTGGAAGGGTTTTCTACGGTCGAAAAATGACCCTACTTGCCGTAGAAAATTGACCGGAGGTCATTTTTCTACGGAGAAGTTTGACCCCCCGGTCAATATTCTATGGGGGTCACTTTTCGTCGTTACACCGGCACTCAGGGCCATTCAGCAGTGAGGGATCTTTTTCGTTCCAGCACCTACTGCGACACGGAACCTCGTTTTATACGGTCTCATCCGAAGGACCGCCCTTCGCGTCCCACAGTGGGATTCGAACCCGCGACGTAAAGATCAACTCCTTACTCCGCGACTCTAGAGCAGACGCTCTAACCACTGTGCCACGCGGGCGACTAAATCATATATGAATTCATAAGTTAAATAATTGGGAAAAATCTTTTTAAAAGCAATATACTCTCTTTAAAATTTGCTAGATTCATAGAGGATAATATGGAGTCAAAGTTTTACATGACGTATGAAAAAATCTTTGAGAATTTCCACTTAGGAACGGTAGCTCCACAGTTTAGTCATTTTAATATGAGTATTGGCAAGATGTAGAATAAATATTGTTCTTATTATCCCCCGTGAATACTTTTTTACTACAATATTTAAAGTTATATACTATGTGTTAAGATATTGGCAAAAACCTATTCAAGCAACCGCATTTAGTGCATTTTTAGTTTTGATGAAGTTCAAGGTCACTATAGCCACAATAGGGAGTCAAAGATTTGCACTGGATACTGAGGGATATTTAAGAATATTTAATCTCAACAACAGAAAGTCCAAAGTTTATGATATAAATGTGAGAACATTTCCATGTAGTTTAGATCAAAATCATGTCTCACAATTACATGTAATCATTAAAATGCACGCAATCAAGTTTTATTAAGTTAAAATCATCCCTCACCCAATGGGGTATTGTTGGGTCAATGTTTTACATAAAAAAAAATCTTTAAAAATCTTTTTCCTCTAAAAGGCATGCTAACATTTAGACACATTTATATGCAAGAGTCCAAAGAAACAGTAGATTTAGATTTTTTTCAATCATGGTCCCTGGTACTAGGACGAGGTCAGGAAGAGGTTCAATGTAAACATGCATTATTTTGTAAAACAACGAAACAACATTTATACTGGCTTCAAGCTTCTATACTCTATAAAATGAATTGTTGAAAGAGAGTGCAGTGTGTAAGTAGACTCCCAGATGTCACACACCTCCAATAATAATAAGGGACAAAGTACCATATGAAAAACACAGAGGTATATCATTGTTGACTGTTGCAGAAAGGGTCGACATGACAGTTTGGAGTATAAAGCTGAGTGGAGTGGAATTATTTGAAGTTATGGAGTGGAGTATGTATTGTAACAGTACAGAAAGTTTGAAAACAAATCAATTTCTCGCCCCTGCAATTTCATTTTGGACTTGTGTAAAAAGAATGAACCAAGAAACCAGACTCATATCTTCATGAACAGGATCCTGCTGAGTTTCGTGGTTCCTGAGAGCCAGCTGAAGTAACTGTTAGACGATTGACGTGACATTTGAAGTCTTGCAACTACAGAAGAATCATTCTATTCGTTGACCTTGTGAGCCCCATAGTAAAGTATGAATTTTTGGTGTCATTTATTATACCCCCGCAAAAGAAGTTTAGGGGGGGGGTATATTGGAATCAGCATGTCCGTCTGTCTGTCTGTCTGTCCATCTGTCTGTAGACGAGATTTTGTCCGGACCATTTCTTGGAAACTGTTGCAAGGATTTCTCTGAAAATTGGTACACTTATTATTTGCCATATGAAGGTGTGCACCTGGTATTTTCATCATGATTGGATAATTTTTTTTGCATTTTACAGGTGTTTTTCTCATTTTTATTATGTGGTTTTGTCCGGATCTGTTCCCAGAGACTATTCCATAGATTTGTATGAAAATTTGTACACTTATTATTTACCATATGAAGATGTGCACCTGGTATTTTCAACATTATTTGATAATTTTTCTGCATTTTACAGGTGTTTTTTTTTTTTCATTTTTATTGACTTAGTCATTTTGGGTTCATGTCTATGGTTTGGGACATAGAATCTAGAATAACTGTACAAAAATGTGAACTACAGCTTAAAACTACTTATCAGAACTAAAAAAAAAAAAATCACAAAATATTAAAAACAGTTTTTACATTACACAGCAGATAGTGTAAATCTATATGTCCCTTTGGAGTAATGAGTGGACATGCATCCAGTTTAAGATTAATTAATGAGTTCAGTGTGGGAAGCTGTTAGGGCATCTCTGATCAAGCAGGTCTTATCTATATCTCCTGGGAATTGGGCAGAAAGAAATAAAGATCTCTGTTGTCTAAGCCTCTTAATTGTAATTTATGTCTGTCAAAATACATAGTTACTGAAACCAGCCTTTTATTTTTAAAATGAGTTTGATATAAAGGTATTAAGATCAATTTGACTTTGTTTAATTAATTATGATATTTTTTTTTCAACAATCAATTTGCAGAGTGTCATGTCTCACAAAGATGACAGATAGCTGCAAACTATTTTTTCAATGTAATTAAAAACACTGTAATTATTAGTATTGATGTTTTACTAGGCTGCACATTAGTTTCATTCATTAAAAAAACATAATGAGTAATTAAATTTTCACTCTTAAATGTTAAGCAAGTTGTGAACACCTCTCACATCTAGAAAACATTAGTGATTTGGTACCTTCTCTGAAAAACCCAGCGGGGGTGTTTGTCTCATTTGGACAGTTCTAGTTGAGGCAGGGCTCTATCTTCATTCTCCAATGTTTGCCATCATTTTGTTCTCTTTAACCTCCTAGACTAGAAAACCAAAATTATTCAAATAATTCCTATTTGAAAAACTTCCTCTTTTTTAAGTGGGTCTAAAGAAAAATAAAGAGATTACAAATTGATTTGAAAAGGTTCATCATCTAATTAAACTTTCATTTACAAACAATTGATATATAAAAATTGAAGTTTCTCCATTCTATTTTATAAGATGACTTATGGACAAAACGTTGCCTGTATTTCCATGTTGTACTATAGTGAATATGAATACAAATTTCAAGCATGTGGATTCCCTGTAATAAGACAATAATTAAATTGGCCGTGTGAAAAACTCTAATATAATTCTGATCGGTAAGTACATAAACAAAAATCCTTTTTTGGGTGTATCTATTTTTAATTAAGCAGGAATTAAATTAAAGTGAAAGTGGGAAAATCCAAAATGTTATGAATAGATCTGAGGCTAAGAAGAAAGTTAATGTGACATGGAGGCTGTTGATGTATTAAAAGGGGCAGTTTCAACGATTGATACAGCCGTCACAGTTTTGGGTTATGAGAAGAAAGTAGGGGTCAATAGTACAGGTGAAGTGAAGCAGGAGATCACAACCATACCGAAGGAAGTATTTATTCCCCTTCAGAAATCAATGGTTTTCCTAAGAATCGGCGGACTGTCTGGTGCCGTGGCTGTATCAATGGCTATGTATGGAACTCATGGTATCAGTCGTATACTAGACAAGTACTTTGATTTTTTTTTTATTTTACGTATGTACATGTAAGTTGTACGATACCGAATAAGCTAATCATTGATGTTTACATATATTTTTTATCTCCAGTGTACGAGCACTAAGGAACAAAGAAATAAACAGAATTTAAAAATTAATGTCTTATTTGAAATACTTGGGTTTAGAATAAAATACAATGTTGTTCTTAAAGAAAGTGGGCTTATCTCAGGGTTAAAAAGATGGGGGAGGTGGTGGGGGTGCAAATGACAAGTCATAGAGTGTTTCGTTTTAATAGTCGAACTTGCAGAATTTTCTATTCTTTTTACTTCGTAGCCTTTAAATATCGAGATAAAAACTGGAACCAATTACAAAAGGTAAGTATTATAAAATTTTCTTTTCATTGCGTTTTTGGAATAATTTCAGTAAGCAAAATTGCAAAAGCTTTTAATCTGTTAAAGAATAAGTTTAATAATGACATAAAAGAAGGAATAACAATGTTTTCATATATATATATATATATATATATATATATATATATATATATATATATATATATATATATATATATATATATATATATATATATATATGAAATGAAATGTAAAGTATTAAATATATATAAAGTATAAAATATCTATAAAATACTCTTAATATGACCATGTGTATAGCTCAAGAAATGTTCACTGCATGACATGCTTATCACGATTCCTGGGGTCAGTTTCATCAATAAGCATGAAACTGATTCAAAACCGCTAACTTACAGTCACAAGACAAACACAGGTTGCGGAAGATGAGAATTAATTGGTAAAATGAAATCAAATTCATAGCAACTGAACTTTCAAAACATTTAAAGTAAGCATTATTTCAGACCTTTAAAGGTGCTTCAATTGCCATCCATTTAATTTGCATTTTTCAAAGGATGTCCTATTATTACAATTTAAAGGATATGGATTCATGAGAAAAAACCCAAAAAGAAGACATATACATGTATTTATATTGTAGTCTTTAAAGGCTATACATGTATATACACTGTATCTTGTTAGAACCTTTAAATAATCACTCAGTGTTTTCTTCTTTTTTATCTGTAGATTTACGAGAATGGGTACAAAATGCATTTGTTGCATTCTGTAGCACTTACGTGCGCAGACCTTTGTAACAAACCCTTGGTAAGTACACATATACATGTACTATGGACACGATACATTGATCGAACGGAGTAATCTAATAATTACCATTTAGACATTCTACTCACGGTTCAGTTATGACCAAAAAAAAATAGTTCACCACTTGCTTCTCGAAATAATTAAATAAACTGGATATAACAAATTATGGATATTATAAAATAATTTCCACAGTTCCTGTTGATTCACCATAAAGGTGTATACTGTACACAGAAAAAAATATCTCTGTGTCTTCTGAATATTAAAAGCATGGCGACAGTTAGTATATTTTAGAAATGCAAGCATCCCTATGAATTAAATTTAATTTGTTCGAATCATGGCCCCCTGGAACTAAAGTACTGGTCGACGGCTTTCACGGAAGAATATCGTCTTCTGCAAGAACATGTTAGGACAACAATTTGTAAAAAAGCATCCCCGCCCCTTTACATGATCAATTCCCAATATGCTAAAAAATTGTAATTGGTTATATAATCGTTGAATGGCTACAATATGAGGTTTCGTTTATCTTCAAATTTATTTATGACTTACGTGAGCTTTGTGGTCCATGGACCTCCCGTTCACTATGTGTTTTGTAGAGTATGATTAGTGACACAAGTGAAGAGTTTTCTCAGACTTAAAAATTCATCCTCCCTCTGTTCGCCCATGTTAACTTTTGCTTTAATGTCTATGACTTTCCAGAAGAAATTTAATTTAAAAAACAAAATTACATAATTTCAGTATACACATGAACCATGTGGAGAAAAATTTGATAGAAATGGCCTTTTAGCTTGAAAATAATAGTTATATATCCCAGTGACAGTTACCTCTCTTATCAAAAGGTCGGTGAACCTTAATTGTGGGCTTACAAATATACAAGTTATACTCTCTCCTAAACACACGTACAGTGAAAACCTGAGCAAAAGGACTACACATAAAAGATAGGATTATTCTGATTTCACAAAGAATGTAATGGTTATTTAGCTTTGCTTTTTGAAATTACAATGAACAATTACACAAGTGTTTGATTGCTTTCTTTATAGACTGGCAGTTTGTTTACCCTTGGGATCCTTCTGTATTCCGGTAGCTGTTATGCCCATGGCTTAAGTGGGAACGCAAAGTTTGGAATCATCACCTATTTTGGAGAAGTTGTTCTTATTTCTGCTTGGTTCAGCATGTTGATCAATTGAGAAAAATGAACTCGCTGACGTTGTTAGGTCACCGATGTCACAGTTAAGGAAAAAAATGTGAAAGATAAAACAGTCACATTTATATAAATATTTGACTTCTGTTACTAAAAGATTTTTTAAGCCCCCGTATCGAAGATTCGGGGGTATATAGTTTTTGCCCCTTCCGTCCGTCTGTCTGTCTGTTTGCCAGCAAAAACTTTAATCTTGCCCATAACTTTTGATTGGTTGGAGCTATGGCTTTCATATTTCACATGTGTATTTCTTGTGACAAGACCTTTCTTTGGGTACCATTATATGTGACGTTTTGACCTTGACCTTTGAGTTTGACCAATTTTTGCAAAAAATTATGAGACTTTAACCTTGGCCATAACTTTTGAACGGTTGGTGCTAGAGCTTTCCTACTTCACATGTGTAATCCTTGTGACAAGACCTTTCTTTAGATACCGACAACTTTGACCTTTTGACCTTGACCTAGGAGTTTGACCTACTTTTGAAAAACTTTAACCTTGGCCATAACTTTTGAACAGTTGGAGCTAGGGCTTTCATACTTCACATGTGTAATCCTTTTGATAAGGCATTTCTTTAGATACCAACAACCTTGACCCTTTGAACTTGATCTTGGAGTTTGACCTACTTCAAAAAAACTTTAACCTTGGCCATAACTTTTGAACAGTTGGTGCTAGGGCTTTCATACTTCACATGTGTAATCCTTTTGATAGGGCACTTCTTTAGATACCAACAACCTTGACCCTTTGAACTTGATCTTGGAGTTTGACCTACTTTAAAAAAAAATCAACCTTGACCATAACTTTTGAACAGTTGGTGCTACGGCTTTCATACTTCACAGATGTAATCCTTGTAACAAGACCTTTCTTTGGATACCAACAACTTTGACCCTTTGACCTTGGAATTTGACCTACTTTTGAAAACTTTACCCTTGGCCATAACTTTTGAACGGTTGGTGCTAGGACTTTCAATCTTCACATGTGTAATCCTTGTGACAAGTCCTTTCTTTAGATACCAACAATCTTGATCCTTTGACCTTGACCTTGTAGTTTGACGTACTTTTGGAAAGCTTTAACCTTGGCGGTAACTTTTGAAAGGTTGGTGCTAGGGCTTTCATACTTCAAATATGTAATCCTTGTGACAAGACCTCATTTTGGATACCAACAATTGTAATCCATTGACCTTGACCTTGGAGTTTGTCCTACTTTTGAATAACTTTAACCTTGGTCATAACATTTGAACAATAAGTGCTTCGATTTCAGATTTCACCTGTGTTTTTCTTGGGAGAAGGCCTTCCTTTATCACCATTAATTTTGACCACTTGACCTTGATCTGATGTTTGACATACTTTTGAAAAAACTTTAACCTTTTCCATATCTATTCAATGGTTGCTGTTAGGGCTTTCATATTTCACAGGTATATTCCTCGAGACAAGACCTTACTTTGGGTACCAACATACTTGAATTGCATTTGCGAAAGTTTAACCTTTGCTATAAGTTGCCATACGGGGGCATCAGTGTCTCACAAACACATCTTGTTTTAAAATGCTACTTAAGGTTATAAATAAAGTGTGTTTCAATAAATTTCAGTGCATGTGTTTTCATTTTCGATCTGAATTAAAATTCATCAAAATACCATTGAAATTATCGAAGCACGAATCAAAAATGTCATACGATGGTACTTCTGTGCCAGTTAAGGGAATAATTGTTTGCAGAAACCGTTTCAACAGCTAGTGGCCAAATTCTGTAAATGTTCCTAATTCTGTGGTCTGAGAGTTACACCATAGCAAACCATTGTTATGACTTCGGCACTCGTTTTCAGTTCACCTATAAATCTTTTAAATATCTCATACAGACTTTTTTATATACACCCCTAACTACTGCTGGAGTATCTAGTTCTGAGCTATTTCATAAAAAATATATTTTAACTTGTTATATTGCTTTTGCATATTCATTTCGCTGTGCCTACATGTTAATATAGAGTAGGGTCGGATTTACGAGGAAGTTACGTGACAGTCTCATCCTCCACGCACATATGTACTAGTAACATTAGAATGAAGTCAAAATTCGTCATTGTCTTTGTGGTTACAATTTGGGTTACAAAGATTTACTCCTATACCGGTGTAACGACGAATTTTGACCCGGGTTGAAAACTGACCCCGGAGTCCTATTTAAACGTTGAATACTGAGATAACGGAGTTGAATTTATACCCTAGCCCGTTGAAAATTGAGCCGTATCGTTGAACTTCGGATATTTAAATAGAGAAAGACAATGTTGGTAAACTAACCACTACATTTTATGATAATGTGACGACTTCAACTTTAATTTTTATTGTCAATGTCCTTTATTAATATAGCAATATACCATTATCACCTACATATGGGGTTTATGTCTCCCAATTGATTTGATACGCAAGAGCATGTTCTTTGTACGAATTATATTAAAAAAGAGGCCGACTACTGACAAATAAGTTAATGATACAAGGGCATCTATAATCTCATTTAAAGTCAACATTTTGTAAACTCTAAGGTCGATTCAGTGACCTTGTTTACACATATAATCTGTCATTAGGTAGAATGTTGATTGACGTCTTTTATACAAATTGTTTGGCCATTATTTTCACACTGAATTGACTATGGATTTCTCCCGATCATGACAAAGGGGTAAGACCGGTCGACAGGGAATGCTTACTCCTCAATGGCACCTGATTCTATCTGTGATGTTTTCAGAAGTCGGTGTTTGTTCTGCTCACAATTTGTATTGTTTTATTCGACTTTTCAGCATTATTACTATTCGTTAACGTTATCTTCACATTCCGTGGAAAAGTTGAAGTCATCTCGTTTTTCATACAGTTAGGGTGTTAGGTGGCCATTATCGTTTATAGACAGTAAAACATCCAAATATGAAGCAAATGTGGCAGAATCTCTTGATGTCATTTATTTCGAGATTACTGGAATATACACGTATCGAGTAGATAAATGAATGATCGAAAGTAACTATTGTTAATTGATAAAACGTCGTTGATATAGGAAGGCCACAGCAAGAAGTTCTTGTTCTCATTGAAAAGTTTTTTTTAAATAAATTCTGCTTCATAGGAATATAGAAACGGGTCTGCTAATAAAGGGCACAATTAGTGTCCAGCAGTTTGTTGGAAGACAAGGTCTTCAAAGACCACACAGTTACAGTCAAAGAGGAACTCCAGCATCCTTTTAATATCAACCTCAGAGTACTTGTGTGTAGAATCAGAAGGATTTATAACAATGTAATTTTGTAATGACCAATCAAGAGATAGAAAAAATTCCAAGTTCCTTTTTTCTGGAAAAAGTAGTTGTCTATGATAAAGGGATCGTGTAGATGGTCATTTTAGTAATTCATCTGTATTAAGTAGTAAGATGTTGTTCATACTGAATGAAGAAAATATTATTCTAGCAGTACATTGCATGTATTTAAAATTACCGATCGATTGTGCACTTGAGGATAAAAAGCAAGCATCTGCGTATAATGTAATACATACATCTACAATGTACCTCTAAGTATTTACTCCACGTTTGTTTTTCATGCGTTACGTTTTTAATGACGGACTAATCAAAGAGAGGCAACTCTGGAAAACGTTAGCTTATCATAATTTTATGCACACGGTATCCCTTACATGCAATGCCTAATAAAATTGGAATATTTGAGATGAAATGTAATTCTGATCAAATATGCATACATTTACAAATGGTGATACACCATGTACATGTACATATCGTCAATTTATTCTACAAAATAAAATTCCTTGAAACCTTTCAAATGTACTAAATGTATTTTTCAACTTATAAATTGTGGTTTTTTTAAAAATAAAAGAAAATTTTAAAAATATATAATTAAAAAATAGAGATAAAAAAGAGCTGGGTTCAGTTGTATTGGACGGGCTGTCAGCATGTGCCTATTCACGTGCGCGATCCAACTACTGCAGAACACGGGGACTTCTGTCTGCTGTGTTTCCACCCTAGACCTATACGTCCCTCCTTAACCAACCTGGACACCCTTGGCTCCCCCGAGGTGACCGTATGATGCCATGCTTAGTGCGGACGCCCGATCGACATAGCTCGTATGAGATCAGGACCCCCACCCTCAAATCGACCACCAACTCTGACCTCCATGTACAGGAGCACGCCACAACTCCCAGTCGATAGCTTTCTGGATTGTTTATACTTAATAACATCACATCTTTAAATATTGTAGTTGTATTTTTCCCCATTAATAGTGTTTTAAGCAAAATAAATAAATAATTAACAAGTTGTTTTTCGACTAATGAGGCAAAAATGAATATTTTTTACACATATATTAATTAAAACATTGCAGTATCGCACAAACCGAGCGACGTGTATACTTGTGTCTTATAGCCAGGAGCTATTTTAAGTGTTGTACGTACTTAGCTATAGACATTGTAGATATCACTTCATATATTTACTTTGCACAGGAATATTTTCCATATTTGTCCTCGTATGAATTAAATTAAACTTTCTTGCAATTTTGAATATAGAGAAAAAACAATATGTTAAATATATGTAATTCATTAAAAAGGAGAGAAGTATTTTTTTAATGGCAAGACAGTCTGTATAGTAGAAACAGAGGACTTGATGCCACCATTTACCGTTTACCGTGACGTGAAGCAGGACTGAGTCTTCACACTCTGTAGAACAATGTTTGCCATCTTGTTTTCTTCATCCTCCTCAAACAATGCTGAACCGCTGTACACATGACGGATTCTTCATTTGAATAATTCTTTTAAGATTCCAAAACCAACATAAATGATGCCTATATTTTGGAAGACTTTCTGTTTGCAAGCGACCATGCCTTTATATTTTTGAATCATGTGGCAATATAGCCGCTACGAAGAACTACAATCTTGAGCTATATGCTGACCTACCAGCTTTGTAGGAGGAGATGGTGTTATTAACTACTACTTAAACTATGGCATCCTTGATTATCAATACAGTTAGGACAATCAATCCAAGATAGGAAACAAAATAGAAAACATATGATTGTAAAAATGAATGTACAAGTTTCCATAAAGGAGAAGTTGACCTTCTCCCTAAATTGAATTATAGCAGCCATATTTGACCAAGAGTTATTCTGCCAACAATGTTTTATGGCACACACTAAAGTACTGGAAATAATGGACAAAATATTATCTTTTCAAAGTTGTGGTAACCATGGAAATAAAGTATAACAATTATAATTACATGTATTGAGTTATTTTGCCAGTTAACATCTGTCCTTGGACGGTTTTTTCGATCAGATGATAAAATGTACATTAAGTACAAAAAAAATTAGCAATGTTTCTACTAATCTTTCAGAAAAACACCGCACTATACTACATATAAGTATGAGGTTCTTGTATGAGGCTTTTCATATTCAAATGAAACGCTTTCCTATTAGAATGAAATATGGAGATAACGAACAGTATTCGA